TCCTCCAAGTGGGGTTGTAGCCAAGAAAACTCTGTTCTGAGAGATTCAGATTTATGGCAGAAGACACTGCTGAGAGAAAAAGCAAGAAACAGAGACAGTGGAGTTCCACCTCCCATGATATATAGAGCCAAGGGAGGTATAAATACCCGTCACTTCCCGGACCCTCTTCAAAAAAAAAGACAAACACCCAGGATCCTGTCTCTGGCTGGCTTGCAGCAAGGCGCCCTCATAAAAGCTAAGATAAACAGTTTATCAGCAGATGAATGCACAAGCTCTGGTCTAAAGACACAAGTCTATACCTTAGGAAAAATGCAGAAGCAAGAAGAGAGTGGGCTGAGAATCAAGGAGGCACAGTATTTTAGGAGAAAGAATGACATGTAATCAGAAAAACACAGCAATTCTTTAAGGACATTTTTCTTAAGGCAGTGGATACATCCATGTATAGCTGTATTTAAAGACTAAGAAATAGCTGTTTTTTTATTTGTGGGGTATCCTTTTTTTTGGGGGGGGGGGGTTTCTTCATTGTTTTAATGCATTAGTCATCTTAGAATTTACTTCACTATAAAACACTCATCCCAGAGCTTAGTTTCAATATATATTATTTATATATTATTTATCACTGTAGGTACATGTTCTTGGCCAAATGTATCCTTCCCTGTCTCCATTCTGTTGGGATTTCAAGGTAGAACTTTTCTCTCTCAACATATGTTTTACCTTCCAAAGTTTTTCATTCAAAACTCTTTACTTCAGAGCAGCTGATCACCTGCTAACATTGTCATCCTCAGCACAATCCTTATTCTGTGTATCAGGAAAGGGGCAGGGAAATTGATGAGGTACCTTCCTCTTGAGGGAAAAGGGACAGAGCACCACATTTCAAAGATCCAGCAGGATCTCCCTGAATCTTTCCACACTAAAGAATGTAGTTTCAAAGTACAGAATGGTGATTTTCTACCTGAGGTACATGGATTCCAGGGAAGGTCATACATGACCCTTGATAGCTCATAATGTAAATTTGTCATCTGATATATTTGGACTATGTAAAATGGCTGCAAGCTGTGCATCTCCTTTAGAATTTCTTTAGGGATTCAGTTTTTAAAGAAAAGGTAGAAAAGAAGTTCCTCATAAAATTTACACAGGTGTATAAAGGAAGAGGAAACTAGCAGCTTGCTAGGACCTAAGACTAAAATTGAAATGGTTTTAATTCGGTTGTCTGCTCTTTCAAACACAGGTTTCCTCTACAATTTTAGTAGAACAGGAGACTCTTCCCTCTGCGTTGTTCCATTGATACTGGTAGCATCTCATCAAACTCTCCAACACTTCCACGAAGGAGGCAAGGATTAGCATTCCTGCTCTACAGATAAGGAAAGGCAGAGCTATGAAATGTGCTGCCCAAAGCCATATGAGAAATTTGCATGACAGCAGAACAAAGAACTCATTTGGTTATGCTGTTGCTTTCCCCTTCCTTTCCTTAACAATCATTTCATGCCAATGGATTTTTTTAAAACGAGAAGCAAAAGGCAATGAGAGCATGATTTAAATAATCTTTAAGTGTAAAGGGAAGCAGGAATAGTTCTAAGGAAGCCTCCACTCCTAAGGAAGGCACAGCTTTGCCAATCACACCTGGCATCATTCTTCTTCATCCCAGTTTTCCAGCATTTTATTACCTTCTGTGAGGTTCCCTCTGCAGTTTAGAGTGGTGCATGAGACCACTGCTTGAGGACCAGGCTGATTTGAAACCATGGGCTGAATTCAGAGGGATGTCCCTGAGCCCTGGGTTGGGTGAAATAGGTCAGGCCATTTTCTGTTAGTAGATTTAACAGGAAACAAATCTATTCTGAATTGTTCCTGTGCATCCTCGCTGCTGTGGACTGAAGTCAGCTGCTTACATAATGTGTTTGCAGAGCTGTGCCTCCAGAGCCGTGCAGGCTGCATTCCTCTTCTCTCCTCATCAGCGATGTCACCCTGAAGAAGTGGCATCTTACTCTTGCCCACACTGGCTTCCTGTGTGCCTTGAAGGTTGTATTTGCTTTGTCTACTGAAAAAACACATTTTTAGTACTGACAGCACTCCAGAACCAATAAAACTGAGGCAAAGGGAGTTGTTCTACTCTGCTTCATGCATCATTGCCAGTAGAATGACCAGCTAAGGCCTCTATGAGCTGCTGGCCTCTCTCCCTATCCCAGGAAGGGCTGGCATCATACACAGACCCTGGATCATGCCCTTTACCTCCAGGTTTCATTTACTGCTGTTTTCAGCCAGCCTTGGAATAAACCAGTTTCTTTTCCCTCTGACCCAGAGGCCTCTGGCAGAGTTACTGGCAGCTCTTTCCCAGTCCTGCTTTCAGCCACTCCACCAAGAAATTCTTGGGCCACAAGTGACTTCTGTCACTTCTACATTCCTCAAGCTTTCATGGCCTCTCCAGGAGCCCAGTGCACCTGAGGCAAGGCAGACACCCGTGCTTGAGGAATTACTGAGCCCCAGCCTGCTCTGCTCAGAACACATCTGGGGCTTAAAGAGGGACAGAGAGGCTTAAAGAGACTCGTTCCAGAAACATTTCATTGTGCAGGTAACTCACTTGAGGAGGGAAAGGTCTTGCCTTCCAGTCCTTGTTTAGAGTCACAATTTTGAATGTGGAATCTTAAACATCTGGCATGGAATAGATGGTACATAGGCCTTATTAGCTTTGCTTTTTAGATTTAAGATTAAAGAACTGGTTTCAAATACCAGCTGACTGAAACTTAATTTATTATTTAAAAAAAATACAAGCAATACAATGTAACTTCTGAATTTTTGCTTCTGTTCTGTTTCTGAGGTGTGGCTTCTCGCTTATATGGAGAGACAACTTTCGTGCCAAATTTCAGTAATTAAAGTTTACCAGGGTCTGGGTGAAGGTAGAGACCTCAACTTGCAGGTGAAAAAAATTGTAATAAAACTCCAGCAGATCTTTGACTGACATTGTAGCAGCAAGTGTCACTGTGAGGCTCTTTCACAATATTGACCTTAGATTAGTTTACCATCTTTTTCATGTAATCTTTTTTCACTTATATACTATTTATAAAATGCCCTAGATGTTCAGGAATAAAGCAAAGTTAAGAGTTCTTTTAAATTGAAAATTGTAAATGAAAATATAATTTGAAAAAATATCATTTTTATAAAAAACACCCAATATTGGTAATATGATCTATGTACTACTTTCATAATGAACCTAATTTTGAAGGTTAAGATTTAAACAAATGCATAAATAATTTAGGTGAAATGGCTTAGCTTCAGTCCCATTAAACTTAGGCTCCTAAGTGCCTAAATAGCCTGCAGGAATGGGATTCAAGCACTTCAGGAAATTTTACTCAAACCATAATAGAGCCTTACAGCCATGCAGCCATACTGCCCGCCACGCCGTGTAAGTGCTCTCTGCAAGACAGTAATTCTGCCAAGGAAGTGGCATTTAGTATCAAATTTTAAATTGTTTTATGTATTTCCATTGAGGCACTTTCCATCTTTCCTGTATGTATTGAGGGCATAACTGGAAATTGCGTTTCTGATGAAGAAGTCTTAGCGAGCTCCCTAGAAAATCGCTAAGCAAGTGCTCCGGAGAGAGCAGCGGGGCCGGGCAGTCTCCCGGAGCATCCGCCATGGGAGCCGAGCACCCGGGCTCGTCTCGGGGGACCGCAGGTCCGTACGCGGGGTCCCACCGGCCGCAGCCCCCGAGGTGCGCGCGGAGTCCGCGGGAGCCGCCTCCTCCCACCCGCAGCACCCCCGGGGCTCTGCCCGCGCTCACCCGCGGGGCGCGGGAGCCTCTTCCCGAGTTTCCCCGGCGCCGAGGGCATCCCGCCGCTCCGCGCCGTCCCGGTGCCCCCCGGCCCGCGGGCGGGCAGCCCCCGGCCCGCGCGGCGCCGCCAGCAGAGGGCTCGCTCCGCCCGGGAAGGCGCCCGGCGGCCCCGGCGCCGCGGGCACAGCGTCCGCAGCGGCCCCGCGGGCGGGCAGCGCGCCCCGCGCCCATGTGCGCGCCCGGGCAGGCGGCCCCCGGCGGCCGCGCAGCTCAGGCCGGGCCGGGAGGGCGCGGGCAGCCCGCGGAGCACCGGGACAGCCGCGGCTCTCCGCGGGCGGCCGGGCCGCGCTCCTGCGCGGGGCGGGCGGGAGAGGCCGCGCTCCGCGCCCACGAGGAGAGCGGCGGGGCGAGGCCGAGCCCGGAGGCGGCGGCCCCGGCCCGACGAGCGGGCGCCCGGCCGGGCGGAGCTGCCGGCGGCTGCCCCGGGCAGGGCAGCATCTCCCGGGGCGCGGCGGCTCGCGTGAGCGGCGGCGTGCGGAGGGCGGGGGGAGGCGGCGGCTCCCGCCTCAGCCTTCCCCAGCAGAGGGTGCCTGCCGGTGGGAAGGGGGAAGCCGCGCTCTCCTGGACTTTTGTGGGAGTGGGGGTTGTGTTGTGTGTGTGGGTTTTAAGGGGGGTGGGGTGGGTTAGGAGAGAGTCTGTGGTTTCCATGGAGATGAAGCTGAAAGTGCAGGAAATTTAAAGGCTTTGGGTCCTTGCAAAGCAGACAAACTGGTGCCAACGTGCGTGGCTGCTGTTGCTGCTGAGGAGGCTGCTTTGCAAACGGCGGAGAGGAGCGGGGAGGAAGAACCGGCAGCTACTTCTTCCACACGCACGGGCAGACAACGAGGAGCGGCAGCAACAAGCAGAATTCGCAACAAAAAGAGGCATCTCCCGTTCCCGGGAAGGGCGAGAAGAAGCAGCAGCAGCAGCAGAATTTTGGAGCGGCTTCACCAGGAGAAATTTTATAGAGAAGCCTGCAAGAGAAGAGTGTTTGCAGGGGGCTTGTTCTCCACGCTTATCAGGGGGCTGTCTTTGCTGGTGGTGCGGCGAGTGGAGATCGTGATCCCCTTCAAAGACGAGCTATTTTGGATATCCCCGTACAAGTTTTCTGATGTATTTGCTTGCACCTTCTTCCCTTGCTGTTTGGTGAATCCAGCCCCCCTTTCCCCCTCCCCCCCCCACCGGTCTCCCAAGGATGGATCATTCCCAGTGCCTTGTGACTATATACGCCTTGGTGGTTCTGCTGGGTCTCCGGCTAGAGCAGGGCGCCTGCCAGCACTATCTGCACATCCGACCGGCTCCCAGCGACAACTTGCCCTTGGTGGATCTAATCGAGCACCCGGACCCTATCTTTGACCCCAAGGAGAAGGATCTTAACGAGACCTTGCTAAGGAACCTCATGGGCGGACACTTCGACCCCAACTTTATGGCTGTTTCTTTGCCCGAGGACCGGCTCGGAGTGGACGATCTAGCTGAGCTGGACTTGCTGCTCAGGCAGAGACCCTCGGGAGCGATGCCCAGCGAAATCAAAGGGCTGGAGTTCTACGACGGGCTGCAGCCGGGCAAGAAGCACAGGCTGAGCAAGAAGCTGCGCAGGAAGCTGCAGATGTGGCTTTGGTCCCAGACCTTCTGCCCGGTCCTATACACGTGGAACGATCTCGGCAGCCGCTTTTGGCCCCGGTATGTCAAAGTGGGCAGCTGCTACAGTAAAAGGTCTTGTTCAGTCCCCGAAGGCATGGTTTGCAAACCTGCCAAGTCCGTGCATTTAACGATCCTGAGGTGGAGGTGCCAGCGCCGGGGCGGGCAGAGATGCACATGGATACCCATCCAGTACCCCATCATTTCGGAGTGTAAGTGCTCTTGCTAGGGCTGGCACTTCCCTTCGCGCCCCTTCTCCAGCGGACTCACGTGGACCTTTGCTGCAACAGAAATAAAAGACATTTGCTTTCTGGTTAACGTTGTAATGCACTGTAACGTGTAGGAGAATGTATATTGTGTGTGTATATATGGCACCGGTTTAATATACTATTAAAAGGTCAGTATTATACGTGAAATAATCAGCGTCTACTGTATTTTCAAGACTATTACCCTGATCGTTGCTAACGTATTCTTTTTTTTTCTTTTTTTTTTTTTTTGTATTTATATTTCAGAGAGAAGTTGCTTCGCTTTGGCGAAGTAGGTTTTTTGTTGGGTGTTTTTTTTTAATAAAAGGATTAAAAAATACAAACCAAACTTTTTGATAAGAAAACTATGATAATATTTTCCATTATTCGGAAAGCGTGTGTGTGAGGGTTTTTTTTTTTCTTTTTCCTTACGGACTTCAGATTTAAAATAAAAATGAATAAACGCCTAGAGCACAATGTTATTGTAAATAGAGAGAACAGTTCGAATGACTTAATCCTATGTAAATGAAGAGTATCTGCTATTTATTCTTTATATCCTTGTAGTAAAAGTGCAGTGCAGAATTAAAGTCAACCACTAAAACACGAGCCGTTTGGATTCTGTTTGCTTTTTGGTTTGGCCGCCGTCGGGGGGGCTTTCTTCTCTCTCTTCCTCGTTCTCCACGCTCAGCAGGACGTTTCGTGGTGGCAGGGGGAGGTGGGAACCTGCTCACGACTCTGTTAGAGGGGCTCTGCGGCACCTACACCGCCGGAGTGCCGCGGGCTCCGGCCCCGCAGGATGGGGGCGGCCGGCGGGGGGGTCCCTCCGCTCGCTCCGCGCTGTCCCCCGCGGAGCCGCTCCCGCGGCCGCGCAGCCCCGGCGAGCTCGGTGGCAGCTGCTCGGGGATTTTTCTTTTAACCGCTTGACATTTCATTTACAACGGGACACGTGTCTTTCACACCTACCATTGTGGTGGGACACTGCTGAAACTTGACCCCGGGGCTTTGGGGGGTTTCAGCGCAGACACGTTATTAGCCTGATCCTGTGACAGCCCCGCACACCGCCCGGCCCGGCCCGGTTAACTCTTTGGGCTCCCGCCAGCGTCGGGCCATCGCCCCCCTGCCGGGCTGCCCGGACGGCGGGGCTCGGGGACTGCACCCCTCCGGCGAGCCTCCTCTCCCGAGGCAGCGGCGGGACAGCGAGCTCCGCCGCCGGGCAGCACCGAGCCCGCAGCCGCGGGACAGCGAGCTCCGCCGCCGGGGAGCACCGAGCTCCGCCGCCGGGGAGCACCGAGCCCGCAGCCGCCGGGGAGCACCGAGCCCGCAGCCGCGGGACAGCGAGCTCCGCCGCCGGGGAGCACCGAGCCCGCAGCCGCGGGACAGCGAGCTCCGCCGCCGGGGAGCACCGAGCCCGCAGCCGCGGACAGCGAGCTCTGCCGCCGGGGAGCACCGAGCCCGCAGCCGCGGACAGTGAGCTCCGCCGCCGGGGAGCAGCGCCCCGTGCCGCCCGTGCTGCCGCGGGGTGCCCGAGCCCCGCCGCCGCCCGCTCCCGGCCCGCCCCCCGGGGCCGCCCCCGCCCGCCGCCCGCCGCCCGCTGCCCTCGGCGCTGCGGAACGGCCCGGCCCGGCCCGCAGCTGTCCCGCGGCTCCTCGGGACCCGGCCCAATTAGGGACGTGTTTGACTTTTACGTGCTGGGAGAGCCGGCGGTTCGTATCTCATAGATACCAACTGCGAAAACAAACTCTCCACGTGTTCTTCAAAGGCTCCCTGACAGTGCAGAAAGCTGTTTCCATATTTATCTTGGAGCCAAAAAAACTTTGGTTTTTTTTTTAATTTCTCCTTCAAAACTCGGAGGGAATCTATGCTAATCATTTTAAACCCGTGGGTCTTTCATTGAGACGAGCCAGCCCTGCTTTCTCTAACGCTTAGTTCGGTATCTCCGAATGCATATTCATTCCCTCGCTCAGTCTCTCGGTGCGTTTTACCGCCCGTCTCTTTGCTCTAATTTCAATAGTTTTGGGAGGGGGGAAGAAAATCAGATCTTGGGACATTTAGGGTATTCATTAACCTAGTGAAGAGGAACAGAGGCATTATTACTCACATAGAAGGCACCCTGCCCCCATGTCTATCTAAGGGTTCATTGTAAAAGGATTAAAAGTTAAAGACCTTCATCTTATGATTCTTTCATTTAATCTTCGTGGCGCCTGAAAGACATGCTGGATGGATGATCACATTTAAAATATTCCTAATGTCGGCTACCTTAGGACTCCAGGCAGGGCAAACAAACGTAATTTATTTCCAGAAGAAAGGGTATATTGAGATGTTTAAGTTTATGAACCACCATTACCATGTATATTTGTTAGGTTCTGACAAATACCCAAATAACATTAAAATCAGCCATTCATCACATATGAATTTATGCAAAACCTTGTATGCCTGGGGCCAATATTTTTTTAGACAGAGTTTCACTTGCAAAAAAAAAAAGTTTATTTAAAAAAAAAAGCAAGAGTTTTTCATGACTGGTAAACACGAGAATTATGTGAACAGAAACTATTTCATGCTGGGATGGCAGCCAGGGACCCGGGAATGTCAACAAAAGTTCTCCGAAGGTTGAAAATGTCACTGGATTACAATACAAGGTCCTTTGCCCCATTAGCAAACTTTGCTAAAGTAATATTCCCACTACTTAGCAAAGGGGCTCACCCAGTGATTTATCTGTCTGTGATCCCAGCAATGGGGCAAACAGGGACTTCATCTGGAAACCACCTCTGACTGCTGGCTTCAAGATGTAAAAATTTTTATGCGTGCAGAGCTGAGTGTGTACTGGTGACTGTTATGTGAGTGTGAAAGAAGTGTGCTGTTAATGTAGTCTAAATATTTATCATCATATCTGTCTTAATATTAATCCAAGGGTCATTGTCATCAGAGAGTCATGTGTTACATACATGCCTTCTCAACCAATAACACCTTGTTAATAAATTTATGAGAATATTTTGGGTTTTAAAAAATCAAGTTTCACCATTCATAAGGCCCATGTTTTTTTTTTTTTTGTTTTTTTTTTAATAAATAGCTAAATTTTGTCAGCTGGTAGATCAAAAGTAAACTAGTAGTCTTCACTGTTGTTTCTGGTCAGGTCCACTTTCTGGTCCTCCTGCCCTAGTGTTGAAATGTTTGGCTTGTAGTGGAAGTGTTTCAAGCCAAACAAATAAAATATCTTTCTGATGAATGTTTCTATGCAAATCTATTTAATATTAGATTTTGTAATATGTTTTTATAGCAAAATTGAATTATAGCTCTTTTAAATAAAAATCAATTCATAACACAGACAGTTTTTCTTTGCTGATCTTTGTAGTGGCATCATAAGACTGCACAAAGACCACTGTGGGGAAGAATTAAGGGAAAAGTTTAAAGTTTGCTTTTAGATACTCTGCAGTTTCTTATTTTGCAATTTTAGTGTCTTAAAGCATTATAATGGGAATTTCAATTAATTTTTGTGTCTGCCATAGGCCCAGCTGAGTCATTTAACCTGTGTGCTGCAGTTGCTTGTGAGAAGCACAGGACTTCATCTTCTTTGCCACTGTAGTCAGTTGTTATCAGAATAATCTGTTCTCTCACACCACATGTTTATTCAAAATCTAATAAAGTTAAGGCCTGGTGTTCAAGGGAGGTTCCTCTATGACATTGCATTTAGCATCCAAGCCATTGTCTTTGTCAGTGCAGAGCAGTATTCTATGTATCATTCTCCAATGCTTTATACTTCTGATTATCAGGGGAAAACGTGACTTTTAACCAAAGTTGTGATGATGGCTAATTTGAAAGTGCTAAGAGGAACACAGTCAATAAAAGCACAAAAAAGTAAACCAGAGTAACTTGTCCAAATTAACTAATTCAAAATTAGTTACTGATTCCTTTTATCATTTTCAAAATACCACCACAAAGATGAGTTTTTGAGATTGCATGAGGGTACCATGGAGTCATCACCAAAATAACCACAGCTAGAAATTAGAGCAGTAGTATTTGGGTAAATACTGGACAAGCTTTTCTTCTTCCATAGTTTTAATAGAGAAATAATCTTAATTTAGTTACATCAACATCTTGAAAAAAATTCCCAGCAGTTCACTTCACTGGGCTGTGTTATACAAATGTAATCTGCACCACATTGGCTGGATCTTGGACACATTAAAGAGAAGATATTCCAGCTTGGAGATTTGCCAGGAATCTTCATTGAAAGCTGAAATAAATATAATGATGTCATCATATAATGTAACATCATAGCCTTCAAGGTGAGCCAAACCAAAGGTATGCTGGCAGGGGAATGTTGCCACCTGGTAGATCCATGCTAGGAATAGATATGATACCCTCATACAGAGGGGAGGAGAACAGCCACTCTCTTCCCTGAGTGCCCACAAGGATCCTGCAGGCTCTCTGTGCCTGCAGGTCCAGTGGGAGCCTTGCTGCACGTGGGAGCTGCAGGATCTGTGTCAATGCTCTCTTTTAAGAGAGCAGCTCCAGCAAATTTGAAGAGACCTTTTCATTCCCTCTTCCCTGCTCCCAGACCAAGCAAGAAGCTCCAATGGTTAAAAGGAAGGGAATGAATGCATTCACTTGAAACAACTGTTGGAATGGTTCAGACGGGAACAGAAATATTCAGCAATCAACATTAAAGACTCTAAATCCTTAGAGGTGTTATTGCAGGATCAGCAGCTTACAGCCCTCTTTGTGAATCCTGGGTACCAGTGTATTACTGCTAAGTCCCCTGCAGCCTGTTCCCTGAGGGGAAAGCAGCTGCCCTGTGTGATGTGCTTCTGAAGAGTCTGGGAGAAAAGCTGCTGCAGAAAAATCTGCTCGGGTGTAATGTCACAGTGAGTCACTTTTCCCTGCTGAACTGTGGGACACAAGTGCAGAGATGCCACAATTTAGCCTCTGACTCTGTTGGTGGATGGCTTAGATGGAAACCACCTGAGAGCTGATGCTGTGAGAGCTCCCTAATTGTAGTTCTGCCCTCTCTGGGTTATATTCATGGGCCTTCGAGCATCCTTCTGAGTCAGCTCTCAATGCCAGACAAATCTGTGCATGCACTGAGCTCCTGTCAGCTTGGAGATGTCCTGGAAAGCTTTGGAGCCATCCCTGTGGGGGCCTCTGGCTCTGTGTGGGTGCTCCCATCCCAGGGCCCAGCTGAAGGCAGTGGCACT